TGTTGAAAATCAGTTTGGGTTTAGAACATCTCGCTCATGTGAATTAGCAGTCACTCATCTTACTGATAAAATTTTAACTAATATTGATAACAAAAAATTAAATGGACTTCTTCTTGTTGATTTCAAAAAGGCTTTTGATCTTGTTGATCATGAAATCCTAATTCTGAAACTTAGAATGTTCGGATGTTCTTCATTAGTATTGAAATGGTTTACGTCATATCTTAGTGATCGTTATCAACGCACTTATTTCAAAAACACATTATCCGATATGCGTCCTGTTAAAATAGGTGTTCCTCAAGGAAGTATTCTTGGGCCCCTTCTTTTTATCTTATTTATCAATGATCTCCCTTCTCAACTTTCACATTCAGAATCCACAATGTTTGCAGATGACACCACCGTTCTAACAGAAGGTTCTTCCATTCATGATTTAAATGTGAAACTTAACCTTGTTGCTCAAGATCTCTCAACATGGACTCAACAAAACCGAATGGTGACTAATACATTGAAAACCAAGACCATGCTCATTCATTCTCCCCAACAACTTAAGAATACTTCAGACCGTTCTCTATCAGTTACTCTTAATGGCAACATACTTGCACAGGTGAAGCAAGCAAAAGTGTTGGGTTTAACGCTTGACGAGTTTTTAATTTGGACCAAGCATATTGACAACTTGTGTTCAACAATCAATAGTAGACTTGCTTTATTACGCAGGATTAAACCCTTTTTAACTAAGGACTGTGCTCTTCGTTTCTATAACTCCTGTATTAATTCAAGTCTTATCTACTGCTCTGTAACTTGGGGAAACTGCTCAAAAACACTTTTACTTCGCATTCTTCGACTGCAAAAGCGTGCAGCACGTATTATTCTAGACGCTGACTTTTCTACTCCTTCTGTTCTTCTTTTTTCCCAGATTCGAATAATCCCAATTTTTGATCTTGTTAAATTTAGGAAGCTTCTCTTACTAATTAACATTCTCACAAATCCCAGTGCTCCATCTTCATTTAAGCAAATGTTTAAATTCTTATCTTCTATTCGACAACGGGCTCTGACTAGAGCTTGCGCATATGACCTTCAACCCCCCTTCCCGCGTACTGACTCTGGTAAACGAACATTTCTGTACAGTGCTTCCATTCTTTTTAATTGCTTAGATAGCGATTGTAAGCAACTTGCTGCTTCGCCATCTTGCTCTTCATATACTAACGCCAAACAAAAAATTCGTAAAATCTTTCTTAACAAGCTTACCCTTACTAACCATATCGAAGATCTATTTTGTATAAATTGTAAATATTTACTAAATTGTAATTGTATTCATTACTAATTATTTTTTTCTCAAATGTAAATAGTCGTAATCCTTAATACTTTTTATGCCTGTAAATATCAAAATAGTGCGAGGGCCGCATGTTAGATAACTTTTTACGGTTAATACGTTTTCCCTCGTGAAATAAAGTTTCTATTCTATTCTATTCTATTCTATTCTTGTCCTCACCGTGAGGAACCTTGTCCTCAGCGTGAGAAACTTTGTCCTCAGCCTGAGGAATCTTGTCCTCAGCGTGAGAAACCTTGTCCTCATCGTGAGGAACCTTGTCGCTAGTGTGAGGTACTTTGTCCTCAGCTTGGGGAACCTTGTCGTCAGCGTGAGGAACCTTGTCCTCAGTGTGAGGTACCTTGTCCTAAGTGTGACGTACCTTGTCCTCAGCTTGAGGAACCTTGTCCTCAGTGTGAGGTACCTTGTCCTCAGCTTGAGGAACCTTGTCATCAGAATTTACCTTTTCCTCAGTGAGAGGTACCTTGACCTCAGTGTGACGTACCTTGTCCTCGGCGTGAGGAACCTTGTCCTCACTGTGGCGTACCTTGTCCTCAGCGTGAGGAACCTTGAACTCAGCGTGAGGAACCTTGTCCTCGCCGTCATGAACCTTGTGCTCAGCATGAGGAACCTTGTCCTCAGTGTGAGGTACCTTGTCCTCAGTGTGAGGTACCTTTTTCTCCGCTTGAGGAAGTTTCTCCCCAGCGTCAGCAGCATTGCCCTCAGCGTGAGGTACCTTGTTCTCAGTGAGAGGTACCTTGTCCTCAGCGTGAGGAACCTTTTCCTCAGCGTGAGGAACCTTGTCCTCATTTGGGGAAAAAATGAAAATTTTCTTGAAAATTTCGGATTTCGCGAAAAAATGAAAGTCTTCTGGAAAATTTCGGATTTGGAAAAAAATGAAAATTTTCTTGAAAATTTTGGATTTGCCGAAAAAATGAAAATTTTCTTGAAAATTTCGGATTTGGCGAAAAAATGAAAATTTTCTTGAAAATTTCGGATTTGACGAAAAAGTTAAAATTTTCTGGAAAATTTCAGATTTGGAGAAAAAATGAAAAGTTTCTTGAAAATTTCTGATTTGGGGAAAAAATGAAAATTTTCTTGAAAATTTCGGATTGATCAAAAAATGAAAATCTTCTGGAAAATTTCGGATTTAGAAAAAAATGAAAATTTTCTTGAAAATTTCGGATTTGGCGAAAAAATGAAAATTTTCATGGAAATTTCGGATTCGCCGAAAAAATGAAAATTTTCTTGAAAATTTCGGAAACCCTTGGCCTGATCGTGAGGAACCTTGTCCTGAGCGTGAGGAACCTTGTCCTACGTGTGAGGTACCTTGTCTTCAGCGTGAGGAACCTTGTCCTCAGTGTGAGGTACTTTGTCCTCAGTGTGAGGTACTTTGTCCTCAGTGTGAGGTTCCTTGTCCTCAGCGCAAGGAACCTTGCCTTGAGCGTGTGGATCCTTGTCCTCAGCGTGACGAACCTTGTCCTCACCGTAAGGAACCTTGTCCTCAGCGTGAGAAACTTTGTCCTCAGCCTGAGGAACCTTGTCCTCAGCGTGAGAAACCTTGTCCTCATCGTGAGGAACCTTGTCCCCAGTGTGAGGTACCTTGTCCTCATCTTGAGGAACCTTGTCTTCAGTGTGAGGAACCTTGTCCTCCACGTGAGGAACCTTGTCCTCAGCGTGAGGAACCTCGTCTTCAGTGTGAAGAACCTTGTCCTCAGTGTGAGGTACCTTGTCCTCAGTGTGAGGTACCTTGTTCTCAGCTTGAGGAACCTTGACCTCAGCGTGAGGAAGTTTGTCCTCAGTGTGAGTTACCTCTTCCTCAGTGTGAGGTACCTTGTCTTCAGGGTAAGGAACCTTGTCCTCAGTTTGAGGAACCTTGTCCTCTGCGTGAAGACCATGTCCTCAGGGTGAGGAAGCTTGTCCTCAGCCAGAGCAACTTTGTCCTCAGCGTGAGGACCCGTGTCCTTAGTGTGAGCTAGCTTGTCCTCAGTGTGGGGTACCTTGTCCTCAGCAGGAGGAACCTCGTCCTCAGCGTGAGGGACCTTGTCCTCAGCGCGAGGTACATTGTCCTCAGTGTGAAGTACCTTTCCTCCAATTGAGGGACCTTTTCCTCCGCATGAGGAACATTGTCCTCAGTGTGAGGTACCTTGGCCTCAGTGTGAGTTACCTTGTCCCCAGCTTGAGGAACCTAGTCCTCAGTGTGGCGTACCTTGTCCTCAGTGTGACGCACATTTTCCTCAGCTTGAGGAAGCTTGTCCTCAGTGTGACGTGCCTTGTCCTCACCTTGAGGAACCTTGTCGTCAGCGTGAGGAACCTTGTCCACAGTTTGAGGTAGCTTGTGCTCAGAGTGAGGACCTTGTCCTCTGCGTGACGAACCTTGTCCCCTGCGTGAGGAACCCTGTCCTCCGCGTGAGCAACCTTGTCCTCACCGGCAGCAACCTTGTCCTCAGAGTGGGGAACCTTGTCCTCAGGGTGAGATGCCTTGTCCTCCGCGTGACGAACCTGGTTCTCAGCGTGAGGAACCTTGCCACCAGCGTGAGAAACCTTGTCCTCACCGTGACGAACCTTGTCCTCAGCGTGAGGAACATTGTTCTCAGTGTGAGGTACCTTGTCGTCAGCGTGAGTTACTTTGTTCTCAGCTTGAGGAACCTTGTACTCAGCGTAAGAAACTTTGTCCTCAGTGTGACCTACCTTGTCCTCACCGTGAGGAATCTTGTCCTCAGCGTGAGGAACCTTGTCCACAGTGTGAGGTACCTTGTCCTCAGAGTGAGGAACCTTGTCCTCTGCGGGACGAACCTTGTCCTCTGCGTGAGGAACCTGGTCCTCTGCGTGAGCAACCTTGACCTCACCGTCAGGAACCTTGTCCTCAGCGTGGGGAACCTTGTCCTCAGTGTGAGGTACCTTGACCTAAGTGTGAGGTACCTTGTCCTCACCGTGAGGAACCTTGACCTCTGCGTGAGGAACCTTGTCCTCAGTCTGAGGTACCTTGTCCGCAGTGTGAGGTGCCTTGCCCTCAGCGGGAGATACCTTTTCCTCAGCGTGAGGAATCTAGCCCTCAGTGTGAGGCACCTTGTCCTCAGCGTGAGGAACCTTGTCTTATGCGTGAGGAATCTCGTCCTCTGCGTGAGGAACGTTGTCCTAACCGTGAGGAACCTTGTCCTCACCGTCAGGAACCTTATCCTCAGAGTGAGGAACCTTGTATTCAGTGTGGGGTACTTTGTCCTCAGTGTGAGGTACTTTGTCCTCCGCTTGAGGAACCTTGTCCTCAGCGTGAGGGACCTTGTCCTCAGCGTGAGGAATCTTGTCCTCAGTGTGAGGGACCTGGTCCTCAGTGTGAGCTACCTTGTCCTCATTGTGAAGTACCTTCTCCTCAGCGTGAGGAACCTTGTCCTCAGCGTGAAGAACCTTGTCCTCAGCGTGAGGAACCTTGTCCTCAGTGTGAGGAACCTTGTCCTCAGTGTGCGGGACCTTGTCCTCAGTGTGCGGTACCTTGTCCTCAGTGTGCGGGACCTTGTCCTCAGCGTGAGGTACCTTGTCCTAAGTGTGAGGTACCTTGTCCTCACCGTGAGGAACCTTGTCCTCAGGGACCGGTCATAAAGTAGAGGGGGGGGGGGGGGGCTATGAAAATTGATTTTTTAAAGACTGGTTTACAGTGACCCACCCCCAAATTGTGACAATAAATTTAGTTGGCCCACCCCTAGATTAGAGCAGAAATCTTAGTGACCCCCCCCGTCATGTAGATAATGTACTGTACGGTAATGTTGATAGGTGCGCGTACGTTGGCAGCATTGGCTTACCACGATTCTTCACTAGTTTAGTCAGATTCCCCGAAAAATCTCCGAGATTGAAATGTTGTAACACGCCGCCCGACTCTTGAACATAATTCAACTATGTCCAAACATAATGCATGACAGTACATCCAGGGCCGTAGGGAGCTCTTTTCGATTGGGGGGGCTGAAAGCGAGGGCCGAAGGCCCGAGGAAATTTTTAGATTTAGAGTCTCTAAAATGCCATTTTCTGGACTTTGGGGGAAGATTTAACAGAATTCTGATAGTCAGAAAACAGCGTTTTAGTATGTCGAAATTTACAGGAAAGTATGGGCCAGACTGTAGTATTATAAATGCGCGGCAGGAATTTTCGTCGTAAATGGCAGTTGCGCGGAAATGAAGGCAGAACATTTGAGAAAATTTCGAAAATCTGGAGTCTCTAGATGATCTGAAATGGCATTTTCAGAGTTTTCTTTCGCAAGACCCAACACGCAAAAGACAAAATAAATCATTAGTTCATCAAAAATGTGCAGATTTTGTGGGATTTTCTTGAAAATGCACGACAGAAATTCAGCTAAAATTTCTACGCGAGGAACGATCTGGAGTATGAGTAATATCTTCATTCTTTGCAGTTTGTCACAGATTAAATGATAAAGTTTGCATGATTTTGAAAAAAGAATGATTATTAGCAAATTATTGGGGGGCGGCTGCAGCCCCCCAGCCCCCCCGGTTGCTACGGCCCTGACATTGAGTAGACTACGGTAACTAGAACACTTCCCAATGTACTGTATACAAATGTGAATTCCTGTTGTTTAATCAGGGGCGAAACTTGAGGGGGGTGTGGGGGGTGTTACACCCCCTCCCAAAATACGAATCGTCCCGATTGGCAGGGCAATCAAAGGTCTCTTATAAATAAATGATAGCACATAGGCGTACCGGGCGGGGGCAATATTCCATCGGGGACGTCGCCAAAATAATTTTTCCGGAAAAATTTTTTTTGTACTTTTTGGCAGGGCAATTCTGCCAGACACCCCCCTAATTAAAAGGCGCTAGTTTCGCCCCTGTGTTTAATATATAAAGTTAATAGGTTAAAGAGATCTCGCAAAAGTTTTTATTTGCTATTTGCTATTTGTCCTCAGCGTTAGCAGCTTTGTCCTTAGTGTGAGGTACCTTGTCCTCAGCTTGAGGATCCTTGTCCTCAGCTTGAGGATCCTTGTCCTCAGTGTGAGGTACCTTATCCTCAGCTTGAGGAACCTTGTTCTCAGAATGAGGAACCTTGTCCTCAGTTTGAGGTACCTTGTCCTCAGGGTGAGGCACCTTGTCCTCAGCTTTGGGAACCTTGTCCTCAGTGAGAGGTACAGTACCGCTCAGAAATAACCTAACAAGAACCGCGGTTTAACCTCGTTTGAACCTCGGTTTGACCGTGGTGTGACCGCGGTGTGACCGCGGTGATTTAAAGGTTTGACGGAGGTTATACCGCGGTAATTTTGGGGTTAAACAGCGGTGACCGTGAGGTTTAACCAAGGTTTGACCGCAACAGTCAGTCAGTCAGTCAGTCAGTCAGTCAAATCTTTATTTAAGCACGGTAGCTTCATCAGGTTTACAAAAAAGTTATCTATACATTAATAAGTTTAAAAAATTTTTCACGCCTATGTTACATTAATATTTATACCTGTTTTCCATGAATGCCGTGTCTATCGAATATGATGTTTCAACAATTGTCGAAATTCAGTAAGAGATTCCGCTTGTCTTATATTGCTAGGTAAGCTGTTCCATAACACTGCACCACTATAGCTAAAGCTATTTTTAAGATAATTGGTGCGGGGTAAAGGAGCAGCAAGTTTGTTCACGGAGTCTCGAAGTATATAAGAAGTTACATTATTGCGATTAGTAAATTTAGAACATAGATATTCGGGTGCAAGGTTATTTAAAGATTTGAAAACCATCAATGCTTTTTGAAATTGGCGTTGTTGGTTTAGATCATCCCACCCTAGCTTTTCCAATAAGCTATTGGCATCGGCGTCAAAGTTGGAAAAGTCAACACCTGCATTGCACGGTTTTGAAGTTTTTGAAGTTTGTTAGATAAAGTTTTCCCACAATTTCCCCACACGACATTACAATAATCAAAATGGGGTTGTATTAGAGCTTGGTAAATAACATGCAATGTTTTCAATGAAACAAATGACCTCAACCGCTTAATAGCACCGATACCAGAAGCAATTCGTTTTGTCATTTTATTGATATGACTACTCCAAGTAAGATTTTCGTCTAATAAGACACCAAGTGATTTTGTTGTCGAAACTCGATCTAAAGGAATTCCATTTATTTCAAAAGAAGGATTGTCAGAAAGAGTACTTAAACGTTGTCTCGACCCAATTAACATGTACTCAGTTTTAGTCATATTTAAAGTAAGTTTATTTGATATTAACCATTCATTGTTTTCCAAGTCTTCGTTAAGATGAAATTGAATAGTGTTTGTATCGCTACCAGAATATGTAAGATTAGTGTCATCTGCATACATTCTGGGATGAGAATTAGATAAACAATTTGGTAAATCATTAATAAATACCAGAAACAGGAGCGGTCCTAGGATCGTTCCTTGAGGAATTCCACACTTAAGACTACACTTTTTTGAAAGTAACCCGTTAACAAAACATTTCTGCCTACGGTCTTCCAAATATGACTTAAACCATTTGTAGGCAACTCCGTGAATTCCATAGTTTCTGAGTTTAGACAACAAGATCTCATGGTTGACCGTATCGAAAGCCTTTTCCAGGTCTAGAAATACCACGGCATTCATATTGCCGCGGTCAATATTGTAAGCCCAACTATCAGTGGCCTCAAATAAAGCCGTAGCCGTTGAATGCAAGGAACGAAACCCCGACTGGTGTTCGGATA